TGACAACAGGGGTTATACCATGGGGGAAGAACATACAAAAGAAATAAAAAAAATCACAAAGTACATTATAAGTACTTTAAAAACAACTGCAAGAGGGCTGGGAAGGTGGCTCAGTGGTAGAGTGCGTGCCTTGCATGCCTGAGGCCCTGGGTTCAATTCCTCAGTACCACATAAGAAAAAAGAAAAAAGCCAGAAGTGGCACTGTGGCTCAAGTGGTAGCGTGCTAGCCTTGAGCTGAAGAGCTGACAGACAGCGCCCCGGCCCAGAGTTCAGGCCCCACGACTGGACCCCCCCCAAAAAAAACTGCAAGAAAGACAAAACCACTTGTGTCTCTATCTTAGAGTTCATTTTACTTATCATCATATATGGTCATATGTACATAGCTTTTGAGCTTTTCTGCTTGTCCTAGACATATGCTAATTACTGCAAATAAAGGAAACCATGGGACCTATGTTTTTTGGGGTCCTGGCTTACTTCACTTAATTTAATATAATTTTTCCCAAGTCTTTCCATTTCCTAACAAGTGGGTCAGTGTCATTCTTTTTTTTTTTTATTGTGAAAATACTGTACAGAGGGGTTACAATTACATGGGCAAGATAATGAGTACATTTCTTATCAAGCATTGTAGCCTCCTCCTTTGCTTCCCCTTCCCATCCCTTCCCATCCTCCCCCTGACTCCCCACCCAATCTGCTCTTCCCCCCACACACACACCAAAGTTGTAAAGTTCGTTTTCGACATAACGACTTGTGCATCTCATTGTTGCAATGGGTCCACCTGTATCCCTATTTAAACGATTTGTTTTTCCCCTTCCCCTCCACGGGTCAGTGTCATTCTTTCTGATGGAAGCATAGAATTTCATTCTTGATTTGAATAAGGCAAGAGGCAGGTGCAATCAGATTCCCAAAGAGTATAATTCCACCAAAAAGGGGAGGTCAGGCTCTACCTTTCCAAGGCCTCCAGCTTATAGGAGATCTTGTGAAGTCAAAATGGAGATTGGTTCTCTGATCATCAATCAAATGTGATTTTGTAAATGTGAAGGAGGGGAAATGATAAAGTAGATCTGCCTTTCAAAGTTCTGGTAACAGGGAGGACGACTGGGTAATTTCTGTCCATCATCTACTTCTAGAGTCACATCACAGGCCCCAGAGCATCCAGGGTTTACACTCAAGGAAGGACACACCCTTGGCTATATCCACAGATCACACAAGATTCCATGGCCCAATGCAGACTTGCTGTCAAACTGGCCCATTGTGGCCCCAGTGGGTATCCTGGCATCACAGAACTGGAATGTGCTATCCCTCAGAATGGGCACAGAATCATTTCACCAAGGCAGGTACATCTTCCTTGCAACAAACCTACATTAGAAGTGTGAGATCTGACAACCACAGAATGGTAACTGGGAGAATCCATCTTTTTATCATTTTCATCTCATAGGCTCTCTGTGTTCTCTGTGGTTTAGGTCTCATTGAAATCTTCCTAGAACCTCAGTTCATTCTTAACATTCTCCTTCAGAAGTGTCACTATGAATGTGCTCTTGGTCTCTCTAGCTGACCAAGGACCTCAAACTCCTGGCCCTAAAGTCAGTTTTACAATGTCAACCACTTCATCAACAAACAGATAATCACTAGCATCTTTTCTTAGCAAGATCTGTAACAGATACCTCCAAACATGTTCTTTGTGAATTAATATTACTTTCCTCAAACAGACTGTAATTTGGTTGAAAACAGTATTACATCTCCTCTTTTTATTTTAAATATATATTTTTTATTTTAAAGATACTGTACAGAGTGGTTACCAGTTATATGAGCAAGGTAATGAGTCCATTTCCTATAGAGCATTGTTACCCCTCCTTTGTTTTTCCCCTGCCATCCCTTTCTGCCCCCCAACCCAACTCCCTCCCCATCCCCCACCCCTACCCCCGCAAAGTTGTAAAGTTCATTTTCAACCTAGTGTCTTGTACATCTCATTGTTACAATGGGTCATTCTGTATCCTTATTTCAGCATTTTGTTATTTCCCTTCCCCCTCCTCAAATTGAAAAATGTATATACAAGATGCAGAACATAGGAATCAAATACAGTAACAACTACTATGGGGGAAGAACATACAAAGGAACAAAAAATTCACATGGTACATTAAAAAGAACAACAAGAAAGATAAAATCTCTCGTCTCCTTCTTAAATCCTACACACTTCCTGGCATAGTACCAGTGCCTACCTAGCATTCTATAAATCTTACAAAATATTTCCTATCTTTACAAAAATAAACACTGGTTAACTTATTAAAGAGAAAATTCTTGGGCTTGGAAGGTGGCTCAGTGGTACAGTGCTTGCCTTGCATGCATGAGGTCCTGAGTTCGATTTCTCAGCACCACATAAGCAAAAAAAAAAAAAAGCCAGAAGTGGCTCTGTGGCTCAAGTGGTAGAGTGCTAGCCTTGAGCTGAAGAGCTGAGGGACAGTGCCCAGGCCCAGAGTTCAGGTCCCACAACCGGACCCCCCCCAAAAAAAGAGAAAATTCTCAAGAAGTTCTTAATATCTGGTTCAACATATACATGTTTTTCGTGTATCTATCTGTGCAAAAGCAGGTATATCACAGGCCATTTCATAATGGATTGAGAAAATGAGTAGTTCTTAAAACAAAGATTTAAGGTTGCAAATTAAATGAAAAAAAAAGTTTAAACTGGGAGCTAGTAGCTCACACCTATAATCTTAGTTGCTTAGGAGGCTAAGAGCTCAAGGTCAGGGTTCAAAGCCAGCCCAGGCAGTCCATAAGACGGTTAACTCCAATCTACTACACAAAAAACTTGGAAGTAGCACTGAGGCTCAAGTGAAGAGAGTAAGTCTTGAGCACAAAGAGGCTCAGGGACAGCACCTAGGCCCTGAGTTCAAGTCTCAGGATTGGCAAAATAAGGAAAGAAAGAATGAAAGAAAGAGAAAGAAAGAAAGGAGAGAGAGAGAAAGGAAAGAAGAAAGGAGGGAAGAAGGGAGGGAAGAGAGAGAAGGAAAGAAGAAAGAAAAGAGGGAAAGAAAGAAGAGAGGGAGAGAAAGAGAGAAAGAAATTTAGTTTAATGTTGTAAATGGGAATTAATTGCCTTTGTAATTTTTTACTAATTCTAAGCAAGAGAGACACAGGAAAACTTTGCAGCCAAGCCTTCTAGATTAAGTATTTATCTTTGTAAGTATTTATCCATGGATTTGTTAAAGAGATTTTTTTAGACTGAGATTAAGGTAAAGAAGGACCTGGGCTTGGTTTTTGTCTGTAATGATGCTTTGGATTCTTGCTGCAGAATCATTCTGTGCTACCCTGACAGATGAGAACAATATGTCAGTCTGTAGTTTCACAGCTAACTCTTGCCTTTCACACAAAAGGAAAATCTTTTTGTATGTGTGTACCAGTCCTGAGGCTTGAACTCAGGGCCTGGGCAGTATCCTTGAGCTTTATTATTATTATTATTATTATTTACCTCCCACAGGACTTTCAGCAGGGAATTTACTTTCCTCAGCCTTGGTTCCCTCATCTGTGAAGTGAGATTAATAACTCACAGAATCATTGTGCATCACAGGGATTACCAGACATGAAGTGTTTGGTTTCCCTGGGCCCCTAGTGACACAGAGTATTGGGTGCTATCATCAATGCTCAGTTTGGTGCACAAGCAGCAGGTTACACTATACTTGTTTATGCATTTGCTTTTCCCACTAGGCTGGGCCCAGCTGAGCAACCTTTTGGACTACTCATTTGGGTCCCCTACTCACAGTAGAGGGAAAGCCTCCTGGAGCTCAAATGCTTAGGCAATGTGACTCAGGCAGAGGTCTCTGCCTCCATGTTGGTAGCTTGGGAACAATTCAGGGAGCCAGCAGGTAGTGGCAGGAGTTGCAGTGTGGAGGAAGTAGGAAGTGTGGAGGTAACTTCAATCCCTGCACAGCATGATCTCAGCATGTAATTCCGCTCCAGGTAGCTGGAAACCAAGCCCAGCTTCAGACTCCATCATCTCCTTCTCAGTTACACACTGAATATCCTTGAGCTTTTTTTGCTCAAGCCTAGTGCTCTTTCACGTGAATCATACCTCCATTTTCTGGCTTTTTGATAGTTAATTGGAGATAAGAGTCTTGTGGACTTCCCTGCCCAGGCTGGTTTTGAACCATGATCCTCAAATCTCAGCCTACTGAGTAGCTAGAGTTACAGACATGTACCAATGACACCCAGATAACAGGAATGACTTTAAACATGCTTTTGTTCTCAGTTCCTACCATTCTTAAGGCGGTACTATGTCTAGTCACCACACTGTGCAGTGTTCTGTCACCTACCCAAATCTCTCCCATTTTGAAGCTCTGTCTCCTTGATCAACAGGTAAATAAAATACTAAGTGTAAGCACTGGGCTCTACAAAACTGAGAAGTGTGCACTAACGCCCAGGAGCACGCGCACGCGCGCGCGCACACACACACACACACACACACACACATATTGTAGAAACTAAGATGTCTTAGAAACCCTGAGCAGTAAGTGAAAATGATCCCCTTAATGGCATTGATGAAAGGAGATGACAATTTTGTGTTCTGTTCTGAACTCCAGTCATGCATTTACCAAAAGAATTAAACTCGTTGAACTTTGAAAATCTAAATCAAATCTTGAAAGCTGGAGTGTATTTTGCAAGTAGTATGGAAAGGAAGAGATGGAGAAAGTACTTAAAAATAATCTCTCTCCCTTGTACACTCCATTTTAAAAAGTAATGCGGCTTTTTTTTTTAAGTAATGCTCACTACCTTGATGAGAAATGTCTGATGCGTTACATTCTGGTCTCAGGATAGACACTTTTTCCCATCAGAAGTGATTTTTGTTTAGCTCCCAGGATTTCACGATCCTCTTCCAGACCCAACAGCCTCTGAGAGAAAGAGCCAACGTTTCCTAGAGCAGATCTTTAGCTGGTACAGGTCAGTCATCAGAGACACACAGCCAGATGTTCTGTCATGTCTGTTTGATTCCACGCTTTCTTTCCTTGTAGCTACCTCATCCCTGAACTCCCAACTGCAACAGCTCCAGCAGCTCCAGCAGCTCCAGCAACAGCAGCAGCCGCCTCCACCACCAGCCAGCCAGCATCCGCAGCCGGGCCCACAGGCGCCCTCGCAGCCCCAGCAGCCCCAGCCTCAGCCCGCCCCGCCTCAGCAGCCACCGCCTGCCTCCCAGAAGCTGCCAGCCCCTCCAGCTCAGCTCCAGCAAACTCCTCAGCCCCAGCAGCACCAACCCCAGAGCCAGAACCAGGCCTCTCCAACGCGGCAGAGCTCAAGCCCCGCTCAGAAAGCCAGTCAGTCGCCAGGGCATGGCCTTCCATCGCCGCTCTCGCCTCCCAACCCGCTCCAGGTAGGTTCTCCAATCCCTCCCCGGAGCACAGAGCACCTGGCTCTGGGAGTGTGCTATTCCCCAAGGCAGAGGGAGCCCGGCAGAATCGAGCGTCCAGTTCCACAGTGTCTAATTCCAATTGATCTCAGGCTTAGGGACGAGGAAGCAAGTGGTAGGCGGCTGGGGATGCATGTAAACGAAACAAATGGAAGCCCATTGATGTCGCCCTCCGAAGGATAAATGCTCTCCCTCCCCTCTGTGCCAGGCCCCACACTGTAAGTGTACTTGTAGCCCGTAATAATTCCATTTTATGATACTTTTTTGAAGGCAGCAAAGATAGCATCCAATTAAAATTATTACTAGCACACTTTTGTAGCCCCTCGGAGAACTGCATCCAGTGTTCGCCAGGCCATGATGGTTATTTCTCTGTATTATGAATACAACAGTGTCTTACCTTGAGTACTTTCTGCTCTTTTGTTTTTATTTTTCTAAAGACTCTCTGGGGTTAAGAGGGCAAAGAAATTTAGTCCTGGTCTTATGTCCCAGGTATCAACCATCACTCCACAGTCTAACAAGTACTCTAAATACATGCCCAGAGCCTCAACAAATATGCATCTTCATAAAAATAACAAAATAGCTAATGCCTTTTCTTTATTATTGTGAAGCTGAGGACATTAAAAATAGCTACACCAGGTTAACCACAGGCTAACCTACTTGTGTTGAATGGAGAGAAGCATTCAAGAATATATAACTAAGCTTCAGAAAACCATCCTTAGATGTGTTTAAAATAAATCAACTTCCAAATCAAATGACACTAGAAGTGAATGGTTCAGTCAAACCATACATTCTTTGACTTACATAATAATGTTTGATTTAGTGTGCTTGGAAGACACTGATAATGTCCAACAGAGTGAGCCCTTAATATACTCACGACGATGCCAGCTCAGCCCCCTTCTTTGCCCTCCCCAACCCACTGATAACAGTAGAGATGGCATTTATACTAAACCAAAAATAAATAAACAAAACTAAGACAGATTGGTGCACACACAAAAGGCAGGTGATCTAAAACTTCATATTTTAGCACTAGCTTTATTAGCTGTTCCATAGTTTTGTTCTGTTTTGTTTTTTTATCTCTTTGAACTTGGATTGCCCAAACAGCCCAAAGACTTCCTGAAGATGAAGACATTTGGGTTACAGGGTAATTGTTTTTTCTGGGCACTTGAGCCAGGGCAACTTTCAACTTGAACATTTTTTTTCCCCCGAGTCTGGTTTGAAATGTATTTTTACAAATCTTGCAAGGACAAGACAATCTAATGCTTGTGACCTGTCACTGAAATGAGCACAAGCTAAAAGCATCTTCGCTGGACACTAGGTATCTAATAAAAAAGCAGACAGAATCAAACATACAAAAATGAATGATTATAGCACCCTAATGTTTTCAGTATCTGGAATTCAACTAATTATGCCAAAAATGACTTTAATGCTCTTGAAGAACAATTAAATTAGCTAGATGCTGCCATCCCACACTTGCAGTCCCAGCTACTGGAGACACTGAGATATGAGGATTGTGCTTTAAAGCCAATCCAGAGCAGAAAAGCTCATGAGATTCTTATCTCTCATTAACCAGCAAAAAGCCAGAAGCAGGGTATGATTCAAGTGCTAGAGTACCAGCCTTAAGTAAAAAAGCCAAAAGAGAGTGAGAGGTCCTGAGTTCAAGCTCCAGTACTAGCATTGAAAAAAAAAAGACAGCTTAAAAAAAAACAGTTAAATTAGATATGTCTATGTACCATGTGATTAAACACTTTCTCTTTCCCAAGGAACAAAATAGGTAAAATTACCAAAAGGGACAAATGCCTTGGAAAGAATGTTACTTAGATGTGACCCCAATTGCATCTAGACCACTATTCTCTCTCATTAAGAAAAATACACCTGAGAGCTATGGCTTTATCAATCTTCCCTGAATAATGACAGCATCTTAGCAGTTGCAAAACCTCCTTGAGCTACTTTCCATGGAAATCTAGGAGCTAGTTAGTTTTGTTTTGTTTTGAAAATGAAGGCTCAGAGCTACCTTACTTTCTGTATAACCATAAGAAAATATTCTAATTTTTTCTCTGTTTAGGGTTTTAATTTACAAACATAATAAATATATTTGGAGTATATTTAAGCATAGAGTCGGTACTACACCAACTTCTATGGATTTTATAGATGACCAAAGGAGTGAGTTGATACAATTTTTTTCAACTAAGGAATAGACTTAGGATTAATTTTGATGTCTATGTCAGTAGATATAAAGGACCTTTTCATTTACTTGTAAGGCACATGTAAAGGACATGGAGAATTTCATGGTTTTAAATTGTTCTAACATTAGCTGCAGGGTTTTCAAATTTGCATAGAACGCTTGAACTTTTAAAAAAGAACTATTTAAAAGGAACTGCAGCAATATTTCACTCTCAAAGGTAGTGACCATTAGGGACTAGAAAAAAGTGTTTTTGTTTGAAAATTATGAAGGGAATAAAGATAAACTAAATGATCATCCACATATGATAGCTCCATCTTCATTCAGGCTTCATCTTCTCACATTATTCAAAATCCATATGAGATATTCATTTAGAACTGTGCAAGGTAGGTGTAGGGGAAAACAATTCAGAACGCTCTTTTGCTTAAAACTTTTTTCAAGGAAAAAAATTATTACTACATCTATACAGATACCATCACGTCTTCAGGGAAAAAAAATAGTAAATGAAAGTAGACTGCAATGGTATATTTTAGGTAAGATCATTCTCAACATGAAAACAAAAAAAAAAATAGTGCTGCTGGCGGTTAGTAACACTTTTTTTTTTTCTGTCCGTCATGGGGCCTGAACTCTGGGCCTGGGCACTGTCCCTCAGCTGTTCAGCTCAAGGCTAGTGCTCTACCACTTGAGCCACAGTGCCACTTCCGGCTTTTTCTGTTTATGTCGTGCTGAGGAATAGAACCCAGGTCTTCATGTATGTAAGACAAGCACTCTACCACTGAGCCACCTTCCCAGCCCCAGTTAGTAACACTTTTGGCAAAAAATTAAAAAAAAATCTCCAAATAGCTCTTGTCAGGTTTTTCTGTAAAATCGTAGTATAATTTTATTTCACTCTTTTACCCAATTCCATGAAATGATTGCATTTTTCCAACCAGGTTGTTTCAAGACAGGCTTAAGTCTGAAGTATTACTCCTTCTGAGAAGCTCAAGTAGCAGAATAGCTTTGCTCATTAGTTTTGCTCTCTTGAGGGTATAGAAAGGCCTAAGGATCCTGAATGGACACCAGAGGCTGGTCCTGGCCAATCTGTCTATAGATTCTCCATTGAGACTCAAGATCTGCCCATTTGTACCTCAATTTTTCCCAGGAGAAAGGTGTTCTAAGCAGAAAATGCAAGCATGGGCGCCAAGCAGGCAGTGTAAGTCAGTGGATGTGGCTGTAAAACCCAAGACCGAATTCATGGAAACAGCAAGTGTTTTAGATAAAAAGCTCTTACAGGCTGAATGTAGATCTTGGATTTTAAATGGACATCTACCCCATCTGGATGGACATCTAACCCCTCTATCACAGATAGGACTAGGATGGGAAAATGAGAAATCTAAACTATGTTAGAAACAAGCAAATTGGAAGCAATAAGTACAAGAAACTGTGGAGGAAAAAGGAAGACATGATATAATCATTCCTGAGTAGGAAAAAAGCAAACAAACAAACATAGCCAACCATTTTTAATTTCAGTGCTTAAATTTGACCTTGAAAAAAAAAACCCTTTATGCATAAGAACAGTAAAATAAATACCTCCTTGTTAGTGTCTTTGAAATTCTTGGCTCCCAAGAATGTTCTTTGGGAGGTTGTATTTGAACTGGGGATTTCCCAGGCATTAAAAGTCCTAAGGCATGCATCTTCCATTCTGAATGGCCTGGAGATGGACTAGGCCTGCTTGGATCCCAGTCATGGGATCTGAGGAAGAAAAAGGCTGAAGGCCTTCTTCTATGTCTGCATCTACATCACATCTGCATCAATGTTGAGTTCTAAAGTCATTTTTAGGTTCATGCTTCTGTGATCTGAATGTTGGTGGGTGTCTGGAATTGCATTAGCTATTGAAAAATATGATCATCTTAAAGATTCTCTGAGCATTCTTCAAGGTCAGACAAATTTCTTCCCACTCAGCTGGATGGCAGAGTGGCAAGAGAGTAGGGGACAAACATAAGTGGGGTAATGATAGCGGCAGCAGATTTTATCTTAGCCAGAGAGTCCAAATTAAAGTCAAGTTTTTATCCTCAGAGTGTCACTGCTAGACGCTCTGGCCTCAGATTGCTTTTCCACACCTATACATTAGAGAAGCTTAAAAAACCAAATGCTGCATTTAACCTTGGCCTTCTACGTACCATCTTGCATGGCAGGAAGCAGGATAATCTTTTCCTTTTCTTGTTGTATTTCATATTTTAATAAATATCAGAGGGACACAGGGAGATCAGTGGAAATAGGAGTGAGACAGCTATCAGGGCTTATGTGAAGAATGAAGAGCCTGGTCACCTCCTCAAAGGTGAAGGTGCTCAAAAGACTGTGTAAAATGTGTTTTCAAAAGTATGCATTTGTGGGGATGGAAAGGTAGCTCAGTGGTAGAGCACTTGCCTTGCATACATGAGGCCCTGGGTTTGATTCCTCAGTACCACATAAGCAGAAAAAGCTGGAAGTGGTGCTGTGGCTCAAGTGGTAGAGTACTAGCCTTGAGCTGAAGAGCTGAGGGACAGTGCCCAGACCCAGAGTTCAGACCCCAAGACAGACAAAAAAAAAAAGTATGCATTTGCTAATGTAAAGCTTAGTTACCACTCAGGCTCAGGCAATAACACCAGATTAGAATTTGACCTCTGTTGTACATTCTAACTAGGGTGAGAGGGAGTTTCAGCATTGTTTTGATTTGTATTTCCTTTATGGCCAGAGGCTGATACTTCATCTGTCATGAATTGGAAGCATTTATTTTTTAGTTTTAAAATGTTGTATTAAAATTTTT